ATCCAAGACTCTTCATGCCTTTCGCTCGTCCCTTCACTGGCAGCAGTTGGTGCCACTTCGGGCTCTGTTTGTGTGGAGGAATGTGCAAACTCTTTAGTTTCGCACTTCGCTCCCTGCTCATCGCAAAAGTTATCTGTATCCATTCCATCAGTTAGCTGTTCCTCTGTAGTTTCTGATGTACTAGCCCCAGATTCAAAGTCTAAATCACAGATGCGATCACTGCGTTATTCTAAAAGTTTTCTCTTCTTTGTAGCTTCTTGCTCTTTTTTTTCAATGGCGGCCTTCCGTCTCCTTTCAACTCTCTCAAATCTTTCTACAGAAGCTTTAAAGTCCTTTGGACGTCGATATTCTTTCTTTCCTAAATTTAGGGAAGGTATCCAGTCTGGAATGAATTGATCGAAATCCTTCGAAGGCTCTCCTTGGTGAAAATGACGACCGCAGACTCTTTCTGTCTCAGGATATTCTTCTCTGCAGTGTCGCCACGACTTACTGCACTGATCCACTTTTCCCTACACTTTCTAGTCAGTTCCTCGTATTCTTCACCTTGGTTAGTGATGATTTTGGGTATCCGAAAGAATCTAAGACCTTTGTTTGCCACTTTGGGATCCACATCCCCACACAATGCATTAAACCATAGTTAACTCTCATACGTTTCCTCACACTAGCTCCTCTTTTCGATCAATTTGTTTACTGTCGAGGGACACCAACATGGCGGATAGCAACTGCTGTCAAGCAAAAGGTCACGTGGGTGAAAAGCAAGAATTGGCAAGCGTTAAAAATAATTCGATACGCGTTGTTGCAACAAAAATACGGCGCAGCTGAACTATTTAAAGGTATCCTTCTTACCGTTCGAATTGGTTCCTGCCCAGGTGCTGACGTTTCTTTCTGCTTTGCTTAGTAAAACCTCGAGTACACGCGTATGAAATATTATGACTTGTCGTGAACTACTATACTTTTTGGTAAGCGGTAATTCAACATTAAGTCTGCGTAAGCTTTCAAGAAAATGGCGGCTTCTCCGCTACTCGAGACTTGTACAGCGAAGGCTATTGAATTTAAAGCTACGAATTTTGAGAATGAAACTTTTATTATTCATTTATTTTCATACAAAAAGGTGTTTACTTTTCATGTTTAAAGGTATGGCCGTACAAAAGTTCCCTGGGGAAATTAAAATTTAATAACATTCTCCTGGAAAATTCTGTAATAATGTGCAGAGTTTGTTTCTTTTGCCGTGCAAGCCTGTTTTGGCTGAAAGCATGTTAATATCATGAGCTTAGATATTTATGAAGTTCCAGGGAATTGGCCATTTCCGAATTACGTTTGGCCTCTTTCTCAAAACGAGGCCTGGTGCTCAACCATACGTATGAAAATGAGTTTAATTTGCATGTGAATGAAAACTTATTATTATACGAAAGGATGAGCACCAAGACTCGCTTTGAAAAAGAGGCTAAAGGCAATTCGGAAATGGGCTATTGGTTTCAATACCATTAAGTTTTTTTTTAGTCTTGTTGGTCATGACTTTTATTAGATTTGGTGGCTCCTAAAGGAGCCGTTTTTTTTTAGGAGCTCTAAAAAACCTGTTTTTCTGTAGACATAGCTGCCATGGTAACTGTCGGACTTACAAAGTGAAAAAAGAAAATACAGTTAACAAACAAATACATGCACTGTTTTCAGTTTATAGAATGCAACTTTAAGCAATTCAACTCTACTTAATATCTATGGTACTGACTTTGATATACAGTAGTAACTTATAAGTTAATAATTTACAAGATATTTATCAATTGAGAGGGTTTTATTTTCTGTACCATCACCTCTATCCTTCTTCCTGATTATTGCTGTATGTTCTTATGCTGCCACGGTCTTCACTCTTTTTAGTGTAATTCCTTTTGGTGCGCTGTAGATCGTGTACCCTGGCAAATAACTTCCTAATTCTCTCTCTCCATAACCTGCTCAGTGTCCTTGGATTGCCGACCACCCTTCTATGTTCCTCGGTGAAACATACGAGACTGTTCGTGGTTCTTTTTTTCTACTGGCTGACAGTTGAAGTTGGAAATGCTGCCACATTTCTCAAGGAACTGAGGCACGTTATAGACAAGAACTGTGGACAGAAATGTAAAAATCTATTTTTTGGATATGATTACTAGTGGAGTGCTGACCATCAAGTATAATCAATCATTGATTGAAAACGTTAAGAGACAAGATAATTGATTATGGATGAAGCACAATCGACTAGACAATTAACTCCAGGCAGAGTACAACCAGTCCTCTAAGCCTAGTAAATAAGAAATCTCCGCAGGAGATTGTTATTCATTTTAATTGTTATTAGTGTAGATTGAAATTATTGTTTGAAAAAATAATGAAGCTTACCGTGTATATACGGAGTTACATCCTCATCAAAGTGAACCACTCGGAAGAATTTTGCCCAGTTTCTGGATTGCTCCCTGAATTGGTCAGGAGATTTATAGTGCTGGTCTCCAAAATCAGCTTCCAGTGCTGTTTCAGTTTTTTGGTCTTTATTTGTTTTCAAATTTTCACAATCAGTGTTAGTGAATTAAAGTATACTAGTTGCTTTTGGCTACACATTTCTGTATGCAATTCTAGATATCAAGAAAATATGTTACCTTCCCCAGCTTTTTTACATTCTTGTAAGTGAGCATCTGCTTAGTTGGCAGTCCATCAAAGATGGGCTTAAGGTCAAGATTCTCCAGGATGTTATGAAGATCTTTTCCTAAAACAAATTGAAACTCGATGTTAGAATTATGTCGGTTCTTGTAACATATACAAAGAATTGTTCTGTTGCCTCAAATGCATTATTTTGCAAATACCATCAAGTCTTGTCCACTGTGTTTGAGATGATCCATCTTCACACCGCACTTCATAAAATTTAAATGGAACACCAATTTTTTCCACCTCTGTTTCCAGGATGGCTTTATTTTTTTGGTTAAGGACCAATTCAATAACGTGTGGTAAAATTGTCAGAATGAAGAAAGAGTAATGAACATTTACACCATTATACATTTCATTAGTAATAATCTATTACTCTACCAAATTGAGTCATACAGAGGCCGTAAGTTGGTTAATGAGTTCACATATGGTGATATTATTGCTCTCTTTGATGTACAGTATAAAACATACATAGCCTGTATTAGATTCCATTCATTGAAAAAAATAAAGTTAATTACCTGATGAAAGAGGAGCCCCATAATCCTTAATAACAGGTGCAGTGTGTCAATAATGACACGATCAAAATGGTATTGAAAGCAATGGCTCATGAAGGCATCCTTGTCTTTGATCTGTTGTCTTTCAGTGCAATATTTTCTGCAAGCACCAAGAGTTCTTTGAATTGGCCAGTCTTGTACTAGAATTAGATGAAGATCAGACTTTCAAATTATTGATCACTTATAGCTTTCCAGTTACTTGAACCTTCATTAACTTGAACCTTCATTAACTTGAACTTCTTGCTAACTGAAAGTTATTCTTACTACCCTTCAGGCACTTTTCTTTATTATTTTACCCTCGATAACTCAAATCTCATTTTTACGGAGTAATTTGCTATAACATTCTACATTGGAACACTCAATTTAATCTTGTTTATATTGCAGTCTAACTCGCACCTTTTTCAATTTCCCTTGGAGGTTTGAGTTATGGGGCTCAACTGTATAGTCAACTTGCTTGTGAAATCGGTGATTTTTGCCTAAGTGCAGTAGCACCATATACAGAAGAACTTTGCAGCAGCAGAATTGAGACCGTAAACTATTGCAAGGAACTTCCAATCAGAACAGCAGTACCTCAAAGAGAAAATAACTTCAGCAAGTTACAAGACAGGCAGTCAGCAGGCCTAATAAACCAATTTTCTCAAACTCATTGATAATTTATCAAGTTACAAACCAATCAAGATACGCCTATTTGGCCACATGTGTGCATTTAGAAACCCCGATGAAACACTGGACAGAGGCTTTTCCACTATACTTTGATGAAATATCAAACCCTAGAGCTTGATAAAATGTCAAACCCCCCTAGAGGATGATAAACATGCTTAACCGCCCGCGGCTCATATTTTAAATCAGTAAGGCCACCATGAAAAGTTTTTCGCTACGTTTTCTTAAAAACGAATAAAATTATTACCAAGCTCAATATTTTCCACTGTGATATTTCTATGTTCACCCCGCGAAGACCGAATAACTTTCTGTTGTAATAATATACTGTATTAAGCAAAGATTTAGCTGACTGACAACCTTAAAGTCCCCTTTCCCAGAACTTGCATTCTTCCTTTGCTAACGGAAACTTTTCCACCTTCTTATTCTTAAGCATTTAAGAATAAATATTACCGAGAAAAACGCACAACGTTTCGATGACTCCATGTCATCATTCTCAAGTGAGAAGAGAATAAAAATGAATAATTAATTTATACCGTACGAAGGTGACAAACGTAAAAAGTTAAAAATTTTTAAAAATTCAAATAAATAATTGCGCGTGTTGAGTTCATAAATGTAAACTATTAAATAAATAGTTTCGCGCGTATGGAATCCGATTGTTTGTTCAAAGAGGGCTTCATCTTCTTTATGAAAAGCATTTCATGAACTAAACAGTCCAGTTTCCCGGTGCACTTTTTAAGTACGTTGAAATGCTTGGTCAGGTCGCCGATGGTTTGTAGGCCGTGGTCGTTCTTTAGATGTTTGTCGATGGCCGAACTACGGTGCTTATCAATACGTTGATGTAAATGCCGGCTGGTGTACCCGACGTACTCTGCATCGCACAGATCACATTTATAATTATATACAACGCATTGTTGGCTAACTATAGGAGGTTTAGGCTCACGTACTCTGAGATCTTCACAGATTTTGCGACTCTTGAACACGGGATGAAGGGTGTGATCGATTTTGTTGCTTAGATCTGATAATTGCCTTTTCACTGCGTCAGCTGACTTTTGATCTTTAAAAGGCAAAACCACTCGGTGAACAGCATTTTCGTTGATGGATAATTGAGCTTGCGTACGCGCGAAACAATTTATTTAATAGTTTACATTTATGAACTCAACACGCGCAATTATTTATTTAAATTTTTAAGAAATTTTTTAACTTTTTACGTTTCTCACCTTCGTACNTGAATCGTGCATTCCGCCTGTCGTCCACATGGGAGTCCTTCAAATCTGAATGTGATCATCTAAAGATGATGTTTACAAACCTCAAGTATCCCGACCACCTCATCAATTCCACCATCTCTCACTTTGTCACCTCAGTTAGGTCGGAAAACCCTGGAGTGCAAGCTCAATTATCCATCAACGAAAATGCTGTTCACCGAGTGGTTTTGCCTTTTAAAGATCAAAAGTCAGCTGACGCAGTGAAAAGGCAATTATCAGATCTAAGCAACAAAATCGATCACACCCTTCAACCCGTGTTAGAGAGTCGCAAAATCTGTGAAGATCTCAGAATGCGTGAGCCTAAACCTCCTATAGTTAGCCAACAATGCGTTGTATATAATTATAAATGTGATCTGTGCGATGCAGAGTACGTCGGGTACACCAGCCGGCATTTACATCAACGTATTGATAAGCACCGTAGTTCGGCCATCGACAAACATCTAAAGAACGACCACGGCCTACAAACCATCGGCGACCTGACCAAGCATTTCAACGTACTTAAAAAGTGCACCGGGAAACTGGACTGTTTAGTTCATGAGATGCTTTTCAGAAAGAAGATGAAGCCCTCTTTGAACAAACAATCGGATTCCATACGCGCGAAACTATTTATTTAATAGTTTACATTTATGAACTCAACACGCGCAATTATTTATTTAAATTTTTAAAAATTTTTAACTTTTTACGTTTGTCACCTTCGTAGTTATAAATTAATTATTCATTTTTATTCTCTTCTCACTTGAGAATGATGACATGGAGTCATCGAAACGTTGTGTGTTTTTCTCGCTAATATTTATTCTTAAATGTCTAACAAAATCTAATGTCATTCTTATTCTTAAGACCTCGACAATGGGTACTTTTACCAGACGCTGCCTTTTCCACTCTTCGAATATTCCATAAGCCCATTTATTTTTGTACTGAGTGGACTTGGGTACCGTGTTTTGAACCAGATTAACCTCTTCTTTGGCTGTTTCTGCTTGCCGAAAACGTGACAACGCCATATCTCATGAAGAATGACCGAATTGAGATCAAGGCATGTACAAGTGTTCCGCTATAAACAATGATGGTCCTCAGAGACTTGTGACACTGCTAAAATATTTGACAACAAAGGTCAATAATTACTGAAAAACAATAGCAATTCCGCGTACGATGCCAAAGTCAGTCAGAATTTTTTCAATGTTCTTGGCTAATGATGCACGATTGAGAAGCAATTTAAAAAACTCGTGCTTCGTGTTTCATCGGGGTTTTCAAACACTCGAAAATAATAAAAGCACGCGGCCTACGGCCCCGTGCTTTCATCAGTTTTCTCGTGTTTGGAAACCACGATGAAACACTCGCACTCGTTTTTGAAATATTACATCTTATTAGAGTGGCTGCCCATGTTATGAATGTGGCCTACTTCAATATCACTATTCACTGAATATCAGTGAAAAAGATGAATCAACTTACCATATCACTGTATAGTGCACTCCATCCACTGTAAGGCCATGATTCTGGAGTTCTTCAATTTGTTCAAAGGTGGTGCCCAGGCAGGTCGTGACCTCATCATAGTCCTCTTTTCCTAAAATAATATTATTTAATGCTTTAATTTTGCATTCAAAAAATTAAATATATAAATGAGACCAAAGTTCTAATTCTTGAGCTCCGAGCAAAATGTAAGCAAACAGTTAGAGTAGCTAAGTGGTGCTATCATTTAGCAGTTACAGCTGTAGCTTGACTTTAAAATTATGTTAATTTTGATATCAACTGAGGTTACCGTAATAGTTGATATCAAATGTATGTGATTTACTGCCCCAACAACTCAACATTACAGTTTCTTCAATGAACTAACCCTTTGATTAATTTAAAATTGTGTTGGTTTTTTGAAGTGACACAAAATCCCAAATTTACATTGCTGAAATTATTAAATTGGAGTCTTGATCTGTATTTTCATTAGCATAACAGAGATAAACGAAATAAACAGTAGATAGTGAACATTAATGATAACAAGTGGGTCTTTACCATTATATAGAGCAATAGGGTACTGATAGTCACATCCATGATTTTTTTCTTCTAAAATGTTGAACACAGCCATGACTGCACCGGTCTTGTTGCTGGTCCTTCGGCCATCAGGAGCAAAGCGGAGGTTACTTTTATTTCCATTCGCATGAAGAGCCTCTTTAACATTAGGGATAAGCAGGAGCTGCTCTAAAAGTTGCTTTATGTTGCGCTGTGCACCATCGCCTTTTTTTTGGGATGATGCTCCATACACCAATTCCCGAGTTACGTCACAAACAAGACAATGGAGATTTGATGTACGTCACAAACAAAACAATGGAGATTTGATGTATAAATAAACAACGCACCAAATAAATGTTGACTTTCTCTTCCTCTGGGACACTTGGGACAACTGGGACAGCTGGGACAGCTGGGACAACTGGGACAGCTGGGACAGCTGGGACAACTGGGACAACTGGGACCTGAACTGGGACACTTGGGACAACCGGGACAACTGATACCTGTGGGACCAGCACTGGGATACTTGGGACAACTGGGACAGCTGGGACAACTGGGACAACCGGGACAACCGGGACAACCAGGAAAACCGGGACAACTGGTACACTTTGCCTACTGTTACATGAATCGAAATTGCGTGCCGCTGGATTTTAAAACCGTGGACTCGTTTGTCACTTCAAAATGGCGTCAAGCTGTCCGTCGAGCTTGGTTTACGTTTATATCCTAAATCTTGCTTTCTTGCTGTGTTTTTCCCCATTCTGCGAAAGTAACGACGCGTTATCAGAAGCTGAGGTAAAGTTTATCGACGAAACTATCCTTTCTTATGAAACAAGTAGCCGAAAAACTGGTCAACGAGGACTTTGTCCAGCTCCTACTCCATCTGATGGCCCGGGAAATTTCTGTTTGCGCTCACTGATATTGTGGGATCCCCTGAGACAGTTTAGCTGTGGAGAACAACGAATTGTCTGTCCTCTTTGCCAATGAAAACCTCGTCCATGGAGATGGAAAAATGGACACCAGAGAATAGATAGGCCAAGGAACTTGGATTGCATCCAGAATGAAGTTCTGCTCGTTTCCTGTATATACCTTTGCGAAGGTTCACACCACGAGGTAATCGCTCACGATCCCACAATTAATTTGGAATTGAAAAAGATCGGCATTAAACTACCTTTTGTTTTATTTGACAAGTCTGGTGTCACGGACGATCTCTATGAATATGTTTCGATTAGTATGCAAAGTGGTATTGGCATCTCAGATATAGAACGACTTCTAATAAATCTCCATAATGCACACCACTTGCGGAAGTGCAGTTATTTCGATCATAGTCATGTATACTTAGAGGTAACTAAACGATTCCCTGGGCGGAAACTCATAACTCGGATTTTCTTACGATCCTTCTTAGAAACGGAAGAAATGTATTGGGAGCATATAAGTGAGAAACAAGGAAATTGGATCTCTTTTGACCACACATTCAAAGCGTCAGCAAATGTGGGTTACTGGGAAGGTAAGCTGTGGAGAAAACTGTTTGATTCTCTTTTCATAGCTATGAATGAAAATAGTGATATCCTAGCTTGGCAATTTACAAAAGGAACATCACTAGATAAAGTCGAACTATTACTACAAGGTTTAACAGAGAGACTGGATGGTTTGCCAACAGGTGTTGTGGTAGACAACTGTTGCACTGTACGCAAGAAACTACAGGGAGTATTTGGAGAGAATACTGTTGTCAAACTGGACATTTTCATGCAATTCAGCGAATTGTGACAAAAATACCAAAGCGGTCTGGAAACAAGATACTGAAGAGCTTGAGAAGGGCCTTACTTAAGGACTTGCGGCTGTGTTTTCGACAGGAGAGTGACTATGGTAGTAAAAGAGTGAAACCCACTCCTTCTAGTAAAACTATGGAAGCAAATTTACTTAAGTTTTTAGCTAAATGAGAGTCACAAAAAGTTGATAACGACAGAGTTCTTCCTGATATTGCTGTCAAAGAGGTTAAAACTTAATTGAGCGGCATGTTCGTGGTGGCTGCCTGTCAGATATTCCGCCTGGTATTGGTACTAATAGAAATGAAAGTTTACACAAAAAGATAAAGAAATGGATGAATAAAAGTCGCATTGGTATATGCTTGTCTGTGGCCCTGTTAAGCATGATTTTCTATATGCATATGGAAAAGAATTCAAAATTACCTGGCAAAGGAACAAAAAGACAAAGACAAATGACAACACCAATATTAGAATGGTACAATAATTTCATTGCTTGTGGGGGAACTAAAACAGAAGAGAGATTTGGAATTGTAACTAAGTCAAAAGAAAATGACAGGATTTTGTTAGAATCACATTGTGATGTTGGCGATGGGACATATGATTATAATTCTAGCTCTTCACAACAAGGGTCAGACTACTCATCTGATGATGATAATGAAGTTATTTCATTAGCAGAAATTTTAAATATCACAAAAAAGCACAATTAATGCACAGTATTTCTGAAGCCACTTTCAAAAAATGGGAGGCACCAGTAAAGAGTGATATGAGGGTATGGATTCATTCTTCAGCGGTACTCAATACGTTTTCAGCCAATTCCTCAGTTCAGTTGTGCTCAGATTCTTATGAACAACTAGATGGAATTTTAGAGAACTATGTTTTTGTTAGAATTCTAGTTAGCAGTGATGGAAATTGCTGCTGTGCTTCAATTTCATTTGGAATAGAACCGTTTTTATTAGATAAAAGTAACACATCCCTTTGTAGCCACCTATTCAAATTAGGATTATTCCAGGGACAAAGCAGTGAAGAGAGAGTTAATTTGTTACGTTCCCGGGTGGTTCAGGAGTGGCTAGGGGACAACAGTCATGAGTATACCAGCTTTCTTACAAACACAGAAGAAAGTTTATTTGAAGATATGGCAAAGAATTTTCTTGAGTCTGGATTTTTTGACTGTGAACTTGGGAACAGTGTACCTCTTGCACTTTGTAATGTACTTAAATGTCCCATTGTGCTATTTACATCAGTCATTGACTACCCAATCCTTCCACTTGTACCACAAATAGAAATATTATCAACCATTCCTATTCGTGCAGCATATATTCGATCAGGAAGTGGACATTATGATGCTGTAGCTTCATGCAACAATGGACAAAAGGACAGTCTCTGTAATTCAGAAAAAATGCTAACAGATAATGAACACCAGCCTGATAAACATTTAACTGCTTGTAGTTGTGGACGTGGCCATTCAACAAACAAAAATAAAATTTCTTGCAAGGAATTCAAGTCTAGGTGTAAATGTTATCAAAGCTTGAAGGGATGCTGTGAAAAGTGTTGCTGTATAAACTGTGAAAATCCATATGGTACAAGGGAGTATAAAGGTTCAAATCAGGGAGGTGTGTGTAGTGTCGCAAAGTCTTTAACTGTAACGGAACAGACTGAAATATACAAGAAGAGTTTACACCAAAAGTAGTCAGATCCAACGTATCTAAAACGTCCTTAGGCTTAGCAGCCAAGCCTGCAATATCCATGGATACCCGGATATAACATCCCATCCTAACCTATTTAAAGTTCAAAGTCCACCCTAACAACGCAACTTAAGATAGAAGAACTAAAACAATGTTCTAGTCATAAACAAAGTC